TAGCAAAGGAATAACAAAGGGAAACATGTCCTACCATATTCAGAACATGTATGGAATGATAACTTTTAAAAGAGTACTTTACAGATTCAAAAGTAGAACAATGAACAAAACACAATTCAGGAATAAACTCAATTTGTATATAAATTTAATATGCAACAAACTTAGGGTAACAAAAATTAATATATGTATTCCAGCTCTAAAATATAGTATCATCAGTTAAAGCAATAAAATAAGTAAAATAAATACTTCAGTGCACCAAAAAAAAAAATTTCATGAAAAATAATTAATTATATATTTTAAATACACATTGTAGATAAAGGTTTACTGAAGCATCAACATAGCATAAGCACAGCAACTTACTGAATCTTACTCTGTGCCCAGTGCAAGGCTGACGCATGTACTCTGATACTCCATTTGATATCACAACAGTTCTCTCAGTAGATAAAATTACTATACCCCATGTACCAGCAAAGGCACAGAGGGCTAAGTTAAAAATTTGCCCAAAGTCACACAGCTAATAATAGATATAATGGTATCCAAAGAAATCAACACTAAATCAAATTTTGGAGGGAAAAAAAACTGATTTTACCAGTAACTACGTCTAAATACAGGGAGTATGATAGAACAGTTACATGGACCCAAGAATAAAAGTAAAGGTATACACTGATGAAGACTAGCCAGTTTATGGAAAAACATGACATGTATAGTGATGGCAACATAAAATACTTTTCTTGTAGAAGTTACTATACACTTTGTTTGACTGGGTAATTTCACATCGAAGAATGTATCCCATGGGAATCCATCCTACACCTTGCTCCCAGACATGTCTCAAGAAGTTGTTCTCAAAGTTGTAACTATGTAAACATGATTGAAGAAAATGCTCTTTCATTTTCCTAAACAGGAGTCCTCAAGGTTTATGAGAAATGTGCACTTGGTGAAGACTTTAAGGAAACACATAAATTAATTAAATAACAAATGAGAAAAGGTCAAGACATTAATGAACCAATAGGAAACTAGAAACAGACCCTAATTTTAAAAGTCTGTACTTGTGTATGTGACAGAAGGTGGATAGATAGGAAGTCTTAGAATATGGCTTGTGAATCTTGCTTTGGGATTTTGTCCTTTTGAATTCCTTCAGTTGTATATGGTCGTGATTTGGAGTATAATGTGGTCAAAATAAGATGTGCCCCAATAGTAATACTCCCTTGACTATGGTAGAAGGCCTGCCTGTTTTTACAAATTCATGTTTCCTGCAATGTCTTATCAGCCCAGAAGTCTCTTGACAGAACGCAGCCAAATAGGGAGTGAATATCTGGGTCCAACTAGTGAACTTTTCCAGCTCTATCTTCCTGGCCTAAATTGTTACATTTGTAAAATGGAAACCATCAGAGATACATGGTCCAATGGGATGAATTCTATCCTGGAATTTGAAAGGGTCAGGATCTGCTCACAGCTCTGCCATCGATCAGCCATGCCACCTCTCTTAGCCTTTGTTTACTTATCCATAAAATAAAGTCACCCAAAAGAGGTTAAAACTAGAAGGGACGTGGGAGATTAGGGTATGTCAACTTTTAAAATGAAGTGCATATCACACCCCCAAGGGGATTTCACATAGTGACACTTTCTGGAAAAAAATCTCATGTAGTAACATTTTCTTATTGTGAAAAGAAGTATAATAATTCTGCTTTTTCAAAATGTCTTTTAGTCTTTATCATCCTGATATCTGTCTGCATTCCCAGTCCCAACTCCCACCCTCAGGCAGTTGAGAACCGTTGATCGAGTTTGTCACAATGATTCCCCCACCCTCGTGGCTGACTATAGTTGCCCAGTGTTCCATTCTGTCAGCCTTTGCTGCCTTCAACTTCCTAAGGCTTCGTGCATCTTTCCTCTCCCTTTTTTCCTGCCCTAAACAAGTTAAGTACAACTTCACTGACGTGGATTTCTTAGTGTGCTTTCAACCACCTTCCTAGTCTCACTTCAGTCCTTACGTGTGAGTATCCCCGGGAGGTAGCCCCTCCCTCCTCCACCTGTCACAGTTCAACCCATCTTCCATGACTTATCTCACCCACCTTCCCTGACCTCAAAATGGGTATGCTACCTCCCCTCTTCGAATGCCCAAGGGATCTTGTTTATACTTAGCTATATATTTGTCATACTTCAGTAAGTTAGAAGGTGTTTGAGGATGGTGATTATATCTTACACCCAAAGATCTTAAGAAAGCAGTGTTTTCAAACTTTTGGCTGTGATCCACACCAAGAAGTATGTTGACATTGTGACCTACTGTATGCGTGTGTGTAGGCATATTTATAATTGAAACAAAGGTTTCAAGACAGAGTTCATATTCTTATTGCCTTCAGTGATGCCCTCTGATATTTTCTTTCTTTTCTGTTCTGTTAATTTCTGGTCTAAATTGATTTTATGACCCTTAGTCATAGTTGTAAACACCACCATAATACAGCACATTGCCCATAGTAGGTGTGCTACTATATGTGTTTCATTA